ATAGTGTTTCAAGTTCTTCATGTTTCTTTATGGTTTTGAATTGTGTAGCTTGTCCAATAAACTACCCTCCATGTACCAAAAAAAATAAAAAAATAAAAAAAATAAAAAACTACCCTCCATGGTGGAAGTAAATTTGATTTTTGAGGGGTCAAGAACATAGCATTTTGAAAATTGCCTTCTTTGGCAAAGCCAAAATAAAAAGCTTTGAATTTTAAGGCATGCATGTTTGGTTTGCTCTTGGCCACTTACCTTCCAGTGCTTTGAATTTTGTCACTATCTTGGCCCAAACCGCGCCAGACCAAAGTATAGGCAACAAACTTTTGGTGAGCAACAAGCCAAGGGTCCAGGATTAGTTTTAAGGTCTTTCTTTTTCTTCTATTTTTTTGGTTGTGAAGATAGGAGACAGATTGGTTGCTTTAACCGTTCATATTAGGGTAAGGATGTTGGGAGTTTCAGTTCTTTCAATGGATAGTTTTAGAAAATTACAGGGAAGGTTCCAACTCAAGACCACTTGTGTCTAAGCAGGAGACTAACTGAACGAAAATGTTTAAAAAAAAAAAAGACAAATGTGACACGGCTTTTAATTTTAATAAAAATTATGTATGGGTTTAATAAAACAAAAAATTTTATTTTTAGTAGACGAATTGTCAGTATCACATAATATTAATATACAAATCGCAAGATCTATGAGCGACCATAGCAATTACAACAGCAGGCCATTGGTGGTTTCGAGGCCTTTCTGACCATGTAGGACCATACAAAATTAAACAAACTAGAAGAAGAAGAAAAAAAAAAGGAACTTTAAAAAGAAACTAAACGAATGTAAGATAACAGGGAACGGATGTGGTTGTCTCAATATAAAATTCTATTTTGTACAACCCAAGCAAAGCCTCCATTAACAACACAGCAATGGAGACAATTAGTCAGAAGCAGCTAATCCTCTCTCAGGACGTTCGTCTATGATTCCTTTCTCTGGACGGAACGTACCTCTCAATCTGAAACAAGCTTAATCAAAATGCAACATCAGGAAAATTGGATTGCAAAACTTTTGCATGGTTTACAAATATAGGGCCAAATTTAAAAATATGCAGTACCTTGGTCCTAACATTCGGTTCATCATCCAGAACCAAACTTGAATTAACACTGAATTTGAACATCACCCAGGAGACTTCTTTTACAGCTGGAGCCTGTTCCTCATAGAAAACAAATATTCTTTTGAATCCAACAATTTCATTGTAGTGATAAATCTGCTCAGTTTCACCTGTTGCCATCCAATGCCATCATTCATGGCTCTTTCTATTTGTTCAGTAATGCTGTATGTCTGGGGCATTACGGTGAAGAAGTAGGCTTCTTTGTCCTTCCCATAAATGAATTCACTTACAAATTCCCGCACAATTGCATGCATAAAAAGTTCTTTTTTCTTATTCTTACCTAACTTCAACCTCATTAAATAAAAAAATAGTTGTGTGATTTATTAATAAAATGCTTAACTCTTTGTTTTAATGAATAAGGTTTATTTTCTAATAATCTACATTTCTTTTTCTTTTTCTATTGGTTACTTTGAGCTTGCTTATTTATTGAGGCGGCTAATGCCTAAGGGGATATATATTTTTTGTTCTTTAGTCAAAGAAATGGCAAATACTATAACATATGTTATAATGATACATAGGGCAAACTATATATGCAGTTAAATATCAAAATCAATGGTTTTAATGAATCATAGTAAAATTTACGTAAGATAGGAATAAGTGACATTTACAAATGATAAAAGAATAACGTGAATTGCAGAAAAAAACAGTATTGTTTCGTCAACACTCAACATCCATTTGATCTTGAGATGAAACTAGAATTCTATTATTCTATCTCCCCGTGACGTGTGTATAATTAATATATAAATACCTAAACAAGTATGTAATTAATCAAAGTGAATAATTAAGGATACCTACCTTGCACCTTGTCGTATATGCTCTTTGTTTTGCATTTTTTAATCAAAACAATAAGAAAAATGAATTGAATTAGGGGAACAGACTGATTGCTGGCTACAGCAAATGCCAAATACGTAAGAGGAATATTAAAATGATGATAAAATAAAGTTCTTATTAATTAAATTCAAGATGTTTTGAACATATAAATATAATAATTTTTTTAAATTAATTGATTCTAAATTAAATTTTTGTATCCCCAATTTAATTAGTTTACACCCCCAACAACTCAAACATGTGCTGCCAAACTACCAAGGCTGCTACAGCAAACATTCGTCGTTTTTCTCATACTGTCTGTGTCCTTTCTTGTGGTTTTGGTCCAACTTTTGCACCAATGACATCATTTCATTGGAGGACTAGACGTTCTATTATTAATGAGAAAACGGAGAAACCCACTCACAAGACGACCGCCAAGCGCGCTTGCTTATAGTCAACTACCAAAAGAAAAAAAAAAAAAAGAACTACATAATTAGTATATAAAAAATTATGCAATTGGTGGTAGAATTTTGAATCACTTTGTCGTTAATTTTGGGAATCTTGAAAGTTGACTGAGGAAATTAAGGGCACTTTGCGTCTTACTTCATGGTGATGTATAAAGTTTTTTCAAGTGGGGACGGGTTCCATTCTCTTCATTGATGATACATTAATTTTACAAACATTTTGTCAATGGAGATGGCTCCATGGCATTGGCAATGTTTATCAATTTTAATATTTTACTTTTTTTTTTCTTGATTCGTAAGAAAGCCACGTTAGTTTCGTGACATTGGCAATGTTAATGACTTGTAATATTTTACTTTTTTTTTTCTTGATTAGTACGAAACCACCTGTACTGTTTAGAATTGTTTATTGACTTGTTTTAGATTAATTGATATCATATTAAAATTAATCTTTAAAATTTATTAATTCAAAAAAGTTTATGCAAATAATATTTCTTTTAATTAAGTAAATATAAAAATAAAAATTAAAAAAATTACGTAAATTTAAATTTAATTCAATTAATTTGTACAATATAATATCTAATTAATTTAAAGTTTAAACTTTAACTCATATAATTTTATACTCTATTTCTAAACTTTGAAGGGTTAAATGGGATTGAGCATGATGCCTATTTGGTAGTACACGGCAAATATATTTTGAAGGTCAATAATCCATTTTATCCGGTGGTCAAAAAGTGATATTGTGTTATCGTATTTTGAATAGTCAAGCGGAAAATATTTTCTATTGACAAAGAACCCGTATAGTACGTCATTGGGTGTGCCGCCCATGTTACCTCTGTGGTTCGACGGACCCAACCAAAATTTATTTTTAAGATAATGTTCATTGAACGATAACTATTCTCTATCGCAAACCATAAAGCATATATCATAATATGATCATATTTTAAATTCAAATCTTATCTTTTACATATTTCATTTTATTTTGATGATCAATAATTGTTTTGTTTGATTTATTTATTATTTTTTTAATTTTTTATGTATTATAATTTTAACTTTTATTATTATACGTAGTTTTGTAAGACAATGTAATAATTAAATTGATTATATCAAATATTTTTTTCACATTGATTTATCTTTCACGTGAAAAAAATTAAAATGTGAGTATTAATTATATAAGATTTCGTGTTTGTTAAAATTGTCACATTTTATTAAATTATATGTTTCGTTTTTTAAAAAAAAAAAGTTGACATGATCACAGAAATAATCTTTGCCATAAAGTTGATTACAAATCTCAATTTATACACCTAAGTCTTTATTTCAAAGAAGTCATCAAACAATTAAAAAAATCTTAACATATATTCAATTCCACTTGAAAAATTTATGTATAATTTATATTTTACACTTGTAAAGTTTAAATGTAAAACTGCTTACCATTATTGACAACTATGGTTGGTAAAATACTTAGGTTGTTAGGGGTATTTTTAGATTTAAAAGATAATATATACATTATTTTTATTAGAGTTTGTCAATAGACAATCAATAGCATTTTTAATTTTGAAAAGGAGTTGATGTATCAGTCGGACTTGATTTCACGGTGTTATGTTAGTTTAATTATCTCATCAATCTATTTAATAAGTTCTCTAAATGTTAATTTGTCATTTTCAGAATAGACGGTTATTATCCATATCAGATCAGTTTGCTAGATCATCTTGATCTAAGCAGTTTAGATTATCCATGTTATCTTTTATTATAAGCATAAATAGGATTATTCATATACCATTTCACCATTTAACTTTTTATTACTTATGTTGTATATTCCTTCCTTTTATTCTTTATTACGAATTTTTAATTTTTAATTTAAGCATCGCATGCAAATACTAAAATTACTCCAAATCTTTATTTTTAACCGATATCTTTCTCTTTCTCCTTGATTTGAGCGTTTTACCCTAAGCAGGTCAGCGGCCCAAACAAGCTGATTCTACAAAGTGCTTATTCTTCAAGTTTTTAGGCTGTTAATTGCTATTCATGTTTATGTTTAATCATCCAATGAAGAAAACCGACAGAAAAGTGGTAGGGAGAATTTATCTTTTTCCTCAAGGAGAGAAAATTTTGGCAAGACAATGAAAGGGTAGATGCATGTGTTTTGCAAAATTAAAAGAGACGACGAAAGTCGTAGAAAAATTCTACTAAAGTGAAAAAGGGACTTAGAACAAAAAAAAAAAAAGGTGAAAAAAGGGCCCAAGAAATTCCAAAATTGAGAATCTATGTAACTCTGCCTAACATTTAGGACTACAAATTTCTTTTTCAGCTAATTAAAATATTCCTGGTAGGCTTAGCGCAACAAAAGGTGGGTGGAAATAGCGAGCTCGGAATACGTTTATTGCTAGAGTTGGTGAGCCTGCAAACACATTCAAATGACACCGAAGTCATTGCTGCTGTCAGACCTCGGGCAAATTTCTATATAAATAGCTGTGCCCTGAAAGCAAGCTGCACCATACCACTGCTTTCTCTTGTAACACTCTTCAAAAATCTATTATCTTTAAAAACCGCACCTCCCTCTTAACTCAAATTACTCGAACCAATGGCTCCTACACGTTCTGAACCATTCGATGATTCCTCTGCTCTCATTGATTTTGTTATTAACCAAGGGAATGGAGTGAAGGGCTTGTCTGAAATGGGTCTCAAAGCCCTCCCCAAGCAATATATCCAACCTTTGGAAGAAAGGATGTGCATGACCAACATCTTAGCCCAAGAAACCATTCCCATCATTGATATGTCAAAGTGGGAAGACCCCCAAGTGGGAAAATCAATTTGTGATGCTGCTTCGAAATGGGGGTTCTTCCAGATTGTTAACCATGCTGTACCCGTTCAAGTTCTGGAGAATGTTAAAGATGCCACTTATAGGTTCTTTGGGCTACCGGCTGAAGTTAAAAATAAGTATTCCAAGGGACATTCATCTTCCAATAATGTGAGGTTTGGCACTAGTTTTACCCCTCAAGCAGAGAAGGCTCTCGAGTGGAAAGATTATCTCAGCTTGTTTTATGTCTCCGAAGAAGAGGCTTCTGCACTGTGGCCTTCTGTCTGCAGGTAGAAAACAAGTCTGATTACTAGTTAGATTTTCTTGCACCATAAATCATACTGACATGCACGCAATTTGCTAACAAATATATTAATGGGCCTTTTTCTTTTTTTTTTTTATTCTTTCAAGGGAGCAAGTGCTAGATTACATGAAGAAGTCTGAAGTTGTCATTAAACAGCTATTGCAGGTGCTAATGAAGGGTCTGAATGTGAATGAGATTGATGAAACAAAAGAATCATTGTTGATGGGTTCAATGAGGACTAACCTTAACTACTATCCCATCTGTCCAAACCCTGAACTCACCGTTGGAGTAGGGCGTCACTCTGATGTCTCGACTCTCACAATTCTCCTTCAAGATGAGATTGGGGGACTTTACGTAAGAGGAAACCAGGGTGATAACTGGATCCATGTTCCTCCAATCAAGGGTTCCCTTGTGATCAATGTTGGAGATGCATTGCAAATAATGAGCAATGGCAGGTACAGGAGTGTTGAACATCGTGTAGTCGCCAATGGAAGTAAGAATAGAATTTCAGTCCCCATATTTGTGAATCCAAGACCTACAGATATGATAGGACCATTGCCTGAATTGGTCGCAAGCGGTGAGAAACCAATTTACAAGCAAGTTCTTTATTCAGATTATGTCAAACATTTCTTCCGCAAGGCGCATGATGGAAAAAAAACAGTTGAATTTGCTGAATTATAAGCATTTTCATCCAATATTAATGTAAGCATGTAGATTTTTTTTGTTAAGAAAATGGATGATAAGAATAAACTGTAAGCATAAAAGCATATAATATGCTTCAGGATATTAGAAAAGCTATTCATTATGTGCAAAATTATGTACCTCGTGCAATACCTAAATGACTTCTTTCATTGTTCTTTGTCCATTAATTTCTCATCGCAGATAATTTTCAAATATATATTAAGATGACAAAGCCAAACAAAATTTCCAAAACCATGCCCGATAAAAACCATTAAAGTAGCAATATAATAAAATTAAAAGTTACAAATTAAACTAAGAAAGAAAGAGAAACTAACCCAGAAAACAAAAGCATGATGTATTTTAAAATATATGAAAATGAAATGGCACAAATAAAAAATTTTAAATTTAAAAAATGAATTTATATATTTCTAAATTAAAAAATAAATTTAAATTCAAATCAATATTTGTTGCAGACTATACTTGAAGCGAGTTAAGAAACAAATATAACTATGGAAAAAAACAGGAAATGAAAAGGAAACAAATGAGTTTTCACATTACTTAACATTTCAACCTTATATAACTATTGAATACTTAACATTTCAACCTTATATCTCTATTGAATTATATATGTATTTTTTTGTTAATAACTAGACAATAAGACAAAGTATGATAGAAATGAAAAAAAGAAAAGAAAGGGAAGAAATGGGTTTTAAGTAAAATTTTAACCTTTTATGACTATTGGATTATATACAAAGTTTATTACTGTACCAATATTTTTTCTTCAAAGCAAGTGAATAAAAATTTAATTAAATCATAAAAAATTTGATATACTTTCACTATTATAATATTGATCTAAATATTAAAAAAAATGAGAATATAAAAATATTTTTTTTAAAAAGAAAAATTATACATAATTGAATAATAAATTAGCTCATAATATTTAAGTATCTTCATTTTTGTGATTTTAAGAAATAAAAAGTAATACAAGTGTGTCAAAAGAAAAATAATTGGAGATAAATATTATTTTTTTAAAAAACAAAATCATAAAAGTAATAATACCTTTCAAAAAAGTTACAAATTGAATAAAAAAACTCTACATCTTATATTATTTATTTATAGATGTTAGATGATAATTAGGATGTTTAAAATTTAAAATAATGATAAATATCTTTTGAATTTTAAAAAAAATATAATAAGTGATATTTGTAATTTTGAATTAAAAAAATTAAAGATTATAAAGAAAAGTACCAAAGTAAAAATATCCATTTAAAAAATTTAAATTTAAAAAGAGATATCTCTAGGTGAACTCTTAATCAAATAAGATTAATTTTTTTTTAAGTTTTATATTTTTATTACAATTTATTTAGATTTTTTATTTTTAAGAAAAAATCATAAAGAATTTATCATATATAATTTGGATAAGATTTTTATTTTTGAAAATTTTGATATTTAAATTTGAATAATATATAATAGATATTGTCCACATGTCAAAAAAGAAAAATATTCATCTAAGCATCTACATGACAAATTTTATTAATTATCCTTGTATGTTATAATATATATATATATATATATATATATGTGTGTGTGTGTGTGTGTGTGTATATGTATGTTTGTGTGTGTATGTCTATATATATATATAAATTATATGAAATTTCAATGGTGTAAGTTCTAAGTTATTAAAGTTTGAAATTTCAACATAAATGGAATATTTTATAAGATCATAGAAGTTTACCTTCCATTTTTTATTTAGCCGAAAGTCATATGTGTAAAAAAAAAAATGAAAAACGTTTTGAACTAAACTGCAATTAAAACAGACAATCATTCTATTATTAATTTTTATATACTTTTGTCTACAAGTAAGAGTGAAAAGTACAGAGCTAAATTTCGAAGTAAAATGAAAGTGACTTAAGCCAATGACAGTAATTTTTTAATAATTCTTTACAATATCATCTCAAAGTAACAAAAATTTTTGTGAAGGTAACATAAAGATTAAAATAAAATAAATCAAATGCTCAGACATGTACATTAGAAAAAAATAAAACAACTCCTATGACTGAAACTTGGTTTTAATTTAGATATCCAATCTTTCAGCAATCAACGGTTGCACCTTAATTCAACCTGGTGATCCTTTCTAATTTTTTTTTTTTTTTTGAGTTCTTCGAGCATTCAACACTTACTATTATTAAAAATAATTTTATTTTTTTAGTGCAAGAAAGGTTGGAAACTGAAAATTATAAAAAAAAGATTGCTGCCTTTATTGAGATTTGAATTTTAAATTTATAATTGCTATTTGTTAAAAATATTTTTATAAATTAATTAAATTAAATTTAAGATTTGTGAATAACGGCTTTAAAAATAATATACAAATATGAATTTAAATACTTAATTGAGTGAAAAAGAGAGAATTTTAGTTTGAAAGGCAATAATGTAAAATATTAAAATTTGTATATTTATATTATATTTTATGTAAAAATTAGATATTACAATTCTTATCGAAATGACAATATGAAATATATTTTTTAGTTTTGTTAAGCTCATATATAGTTATTACTAAAATTTAAACTATGTAACCTTTGTATATTTTTTTATATTATGTTCGTATCGTATTGTCGTATCATATTTTAAATTGTTAGATTTATGTAGAATATTAGATAGACAGGAAAGTACTAGTGTCACAGACCTAAGGAGGAGTCCTGATCTTACATTGGTTGTGTACTAAAGTTAGTTATGGGATATAAAAGTTAACACATTCTTTTCTTTGTGAGGCACATTTTGTAGGATAAAATCATGAAGCCAAGAAGGCGACAATGAACAATACCTTACAAGGGTGTGAACTGTGACAGTTAAGTTGATCTGAGACACTAGATGAGTGCATGCTCAGGTTCTAGAGCTGCGCGGGCTTAGAAGTTAAGTCTCAGCTCGTGACAAGTGATATCAAAGTCAGTTCTAGGAGTACTTACGATGTGCCACTAAGGACGGTGGGCCTTTATTGGAATTGGAGAGGATGTCATAGACTTAAAGAGAAGTCCTAAATCTTACATCGACTGTGTACTAGAGTTAGTCATGGGATATATAAGTTCACACATTCCCTTCCTTATGAGGTATTTTTTGTAGGATAAAACTGTGAGGCCAAAGGGTTTAGAACAGACAATACCTCACAAGGGTGTGACTATGATAGTTAGGTTGATTTAAAATGCCGAATGAGAGCATGCTTAGGTCCTAGAGCCACGTGGGCCTGAAGGTTGAGTCTCGGCCTATGACACTAGGACACTACTATAAATTGTAAACATGTTTTGTTATAAACAAACAATACAAGGCTTAAAGTAAACAAAAAATATTAACTTTGTTTATGAAAAGTACTAGGAAATTGTTGTAAATTGTAAACATGTTCTGTTAGATAATACAAGGCTTTAAGTAAACAAATAATATGACTTTATTGATGAACTTGTGATTTTCTTATAGTTTTCCCTTTTGCACCTTGAGTAAAACATAATGGAATCTTCAATGTAAGATGTTAAATCAAAATGTTAAATCAAAATGTTTTGAAGATATAATAAAGCCTATGTTTGATTTACTTTGCACCGATAAAATCAAACCATTAAAAGCTCCTTAATGAGAGAAAAAAAATACCTTATCTTTAACAAAGTTTTATGCATTAAATAATATCACAAAAACAATCATTTATTTTTTAAAGAATAAGAGAAAAGAAAGAAAGAAATCTGAACTTCTGAATTATGTAAATGAACTCATAACAATTTTTATTTATAGAAATTAAATCCTAAGATTGTGACTTTTTTATTGTTTTATTTCAATCAAAAATCACTTTTTTTTTATTATAAAGATGTCATTTTGGAATAATTAAGGATGAATTTGTTCATTAATCTGATAAAACTTTTCATACTAAGAAAAACTATTTTTTATGTTTTTGGAAAATATAACTTTCTGTGCAAAGCAATTGATTCCACCTAGATGCTAGTTGACTACCTCTTTGTATTTTCGTTTTATAAAATGTTATCTAAAGTAGCATAGCCGACTTTTTTCAACTTGTAGAATACGTTCGATAGTGAGCAATCAATTACTTCATATATTAATCTACTTTTTTTATTTCAAAAATGGTTCATCCATCAAAGTAGTCGACTTCTTCTTTGATAGTAGTCGACTACTATAGGCTAACTCAAATTCTAGACGACTTTTAATTAATAGCAGTCAATTTCTCTAAGGTTAGGAATCGATTAGTTTAATTTCTAGCCGGAGCATTCGATTGCCTTAGGCTTGCAATTGATTGCTAATTTATATAAAAACTATATTTAGCTTCTATTTGTCAAAGTAGTCAATTTCATGTCAATGAAAGCCGATTGCTTTTCTTGGAAAGCTAAGACAATTGACTTCCTACATGTACAATATTCTAATTAGATATTTTAAGCCTTAAATTTATACCTTAAATTATTTATAACTTCATATTATTTCTTTTTGATTAAGTACTTTATTTAATTATATTATTTTTATATTTTAAAAATATTTCTAACATGCTTAATATATATAATTAGATATGAAAAAGCCATGTGATTCATCCAACTATTTGGACTCAAATTTTCAAGTAATGGAGCTTAAAAGGTAGATGTTTTTCACCTAATAAGACAAATATTGTTCATTAATGTTGCTGTTGACCTTGACAAAATTCTATATAAATAGTAGTGAATTGAAGGCTTAGCAAGTTGCACCATTGCTTTCTCTTGTAATAGTACTCTTCTAGGTTCTATCATCTTTTAAAAATGGTACCTCTTTCTTCACTCAAATTACTTAATCCATTGCTTGAATTACTAGTGAATCCAAGACTTTTTTCGAAGGTGTCCACTTATAATATATATAAAAAATACAAAGGATTTACGAATTTTATCAATGAAAAAGGTGTTTAGGGGAAAATTTAAAGTGTCAGGCAAAATTTTTCTTCAAAATTTCTTATTTTCCATTATTTGAAAGTGTCAATGTACACCTAAGTGTCCATTTGGATCTATTGATGGCCCGAATTGATTGAAAGCGATGAAAAACCAATTTGTATGCAAGTTCTTTATTTAGATTACATCAAACATTTCTTTTATAAAGCA